GAAAAGGTGAGAGGGAATAACAGAAAGCAGCAGGAGCTGCAGGGAGAGAGAGGAGGAGGAGCCTCTTATGTACCTCTCTAGAACCCCCAGGAGCCTGGACTGATTAACACCAGCTTCTCAGGAAGCTTCCTGTTTCCTGCTGCTTCCCTGAACCCACTTGAGGAGAACAGGCAGTCAGCTGAAGTAGTAGGAGCCAGTTAAGCCCTTAAGATGCTGATATCTTCCCTCACTCAGGCCCTGCTACCAGCCTGCTTATTTGTCCTCTTCAGTTGAGTGTTGAGAGCCACTATAGCTGGCTCAGAACAGCAGTCATGAGTGAAAGAAGAAAACACCCCTCTGGGGCAGCATTCAGAAAAAGTAAGAAAGCAAAGGAAGCTTTTCTATCTAAGCAGGAAGGAGCTCTCCTGAGATACATAGACACAAATGTTCACAGTGAGCCTTCCGGCCCCAGTGAGGATGTGAGTGGTGAGGAGATGCCTGATCTTCCAGTTAGTCAGAGTGCAGGTGACCTGGCAGCTACTGCAGCATCCATATCTCCATCTCAAATGGACGTAACCATGCACATTCCTGAAGAAAAGTGTAGATCAGAGAAGAGTGTGGATGAGGTGCAAGAAACAAATGCTGCTGAGTGTAGTTCCTTAGGTCTAGATGATCCAGGACTGTGGACCCACTTCAGCAGTAGCCTGAGGGATTTCCTTGTACTGCATGGGCCACAGCAAGTGAAAAACTTCATGTTCCCCAAAGACAATGAAAATAGAAGTTTCCACCCAACACATTACTGGCATGAAATCCCCATTGGTGACAAAGTGGAGAGGCCATGGCTTATGTACTCAAAAACCCAGAATGCTGCATACTGTTTTTGTTGCAAACTCTTCCAGTCTAATGTTCCAGCCACATTGGGTTCTACAGGAAGAAAGGACTGGAAAAATCTGGCTAGAAATCTGGCATGCCATGAGAAGGCAGCAAATCACCAGAAAGCATTCCATAGGTGGAAACAGCTTGAGATGAGAATAAGGTTAAAGGCCACCATAGATGATCAGCATCAAGAGAAGATTGCATCAGAATCTCTTTACTGGCAAAATGTTTTGAAAAGGGTCATTGCCATTGTGAGAATGCTTGCTACTCAAAACCTAACACTGTGTGGCACTTCAGATCAGCTGTATGTGCCAAACAATGGAAACTTTCTTAACATTGTGGAGCTGATGGCTGAGTTTGATGCTGTACTCCAGGAGCATCTAAGAGTCACCACCCAAGAAATGTACACACACCACTACCTTGGAAAAACAATTCAAAATGAGATCATATAGTTACTGGCAACAAAAGTCAAACAGAAGATTGTGGCAGATCTGAAGTCAGCAAGATATTACTCTGTTATTCTGGACTGCAAACCTGACATCAGCCATACGGAACAAATGACTTTAATGGTGTGTTTTGTAACAACAGAACCTAGTGAAAATGTCCCTGCAATGGTGACTGTCAGAGAGCATTTCTTAGAATTTATTGACATTGATGATACTACAAGAGATGGTATGACAAATGTGCTTTTTAAAAAGCTGGAAGATACGGGAATTGCAATAGCTGACATGACAGGTCAGGGTGACAATAATGGTGCCAACATGAGAGGAAAGAACAGAGGAGTGCAGACACGGAACCGAGAGTTAAACCCTCGAGCTTTTTTTGTTCCATGCAGTTCTCATCATTGAACTTGGTGGTCAGTGATGCAACATCCGCTTCTAGTGAGGCTGCTGAATTTTTTATGTAATTCAAAGCATCTATGTATTTTTCTCTGCATCAATTCATTGATGGCAAATTTTGAAGCAACATCTGGGGACATCCTCTCTGACACTGAAACCACTGAGTGCCACACGATGGGAAAGTCGAGTGGAGGCGATAAAGCCTATCAAACCCAAATTGGGAAGATAGATGATGCCATAGTTGCCATTATGGAGGATAATGCTATGACAGGAACTGTTTGTGGGAGAACAATGGCAGAGGGAAATGGAATCACCAAAAAAACACATAACTTCAAATTTCTGTGTGGCATGACATACTGTTTGAAATAAATGTTGTAAGCAGGAGACTCCAAGGTGTTGACCTTGATATATCTGGAGCAATGGACAAAGCAAAGTCATACCTACAGTTTTACCGGTCAGATGAGGGATTTCAAAATGTTCTGAAGAATGCACAGAAGTTGGCAGAGGAACTTCACACTGAAGCTATTTTCCCACCCATTCAAGAATATAAGAGTCACCGAAGAAGAAGACATTTTCAATACGAGGCATGGGATAATCCCATAAGAGACCCCAAACAACAATTCAAGGTTGAATTCTTTAGCCAGCTGCTAGATTGTGCAATACAGTCAGTTGAAGAACGTTTCATGCACCTCAAAGAACACAACAGTATATTTGGGATGTTGTATGATATTCCTAAACTCCTTACTATACCTGAAGAAGACCTACACCAGCAATGCAGGGCACTAGAGACATTGTTGACACATGATGACATGTGTGGTATTGATGCGAGTGATTTAGGTGATGAACTGAAAGCCCTTTCAAGATACATTTCAGCAGAATCAACTCCAAAGGCTGTTCTGAAATATATATGCACGAATAAGATGTCCACCCTCTTTCCAACTGCTTTTGTTGCTCTGTGCATACTTCTAACACTTCCTGTAACAGTTGCCTGTGTAGAACGCAGCTTCTCCAAGCTGAAGTTAATAAAAACACATCTACGCTCCACAATGACACAGGAGAGGCTGGTCGGCCTTGCAACCATCTCAATAGAGCATGAGCTGGCCCAGACTGTGCCCCTTCAGGAAGCAGTTCAAATCTTTGCAACCAAGAAGGCACGGAAAGTACCACTTTGATTATTCAAACAGATAAAAATGCCAGTGTTTACTATGCAGACAAGAAAAGTTACATTTGCTGTTCAGGCATTTGAAAGTTAAGTGTTACTTAAAAATTTTGAACAAGGCATTTTAAGTTGTTAGTTCTCCTTTATTGGGGTAGGTAGTAGAGCAGTACCATGAGAGGAGTAGAACAGAAAGAAGGCAGAATTGAGACCTTTCCAAGTTTTGGCCCAAGCGAGCGGGTATGGGGGCATCATTTGAGCTCCCCACCTCAGGTGCCAAAATGTTGTGGGCCGATCCTGATCTGACATGTCAACTGCTGTCTGAAAACTTATGGAGCATGGATATCCTATATACAAGAAAGAGGAAGTACACTACAGGTGAAACTAATGAATTCTTTACCGGAAAAGCAAATGGCTACATTCACCTTGGGAAGTGTCAGATTTGAACACAACATACAAATTCTGAGCCTTCTCATTGAACCATTTATATTTATTACGGCACTTCTGTTTTCACAGTCACTTTTTCCAGGAAGTGGGACACACATCTCCCTTCCTTGAAGTTCAAAGGAAATATACCTAGTCATCTCTCCCTCTTTGTTTCCTTGTTTTGTCTTTGACTCTGCAGAGGGCCCCAGATGTATATGAATGATATTAAATTCTTTCTTTATGATCAAGGAATCTTTCCTGAGTCTTTTCTTCATATTCCTCCAGATCAGAGTTCATATATATCCTGTACTAGACAGAAACATAAGGGAAAGAGAAAAAGGCTGATTTACTGGGGCAAAGCCCTAGCACCCATAACGGCTTCTTGGGGGCAGTTAGCTATAGTACCTGAGGCAGGGTCTGTATAAACAGGGGGATACTGAGTGGAAGAGAGAGGTTATATCAGCCCTGTATTTTGTACTGGAGCAACAGCTACTGGAATATTTTGTCCAGGTCTGGTGTCCATAATTCAAGAAGGTTGTTGAAAACTGGAGAGGATTAAGACAAGGACCTTTATAATTATAATTATAATTAATTAATAATAATTAAAAGAATGGAAACATGCCTTATAGTGAAATACTCAAGGAGCATAATCTGTCTAGGTTATCAAAGAGAAGGTTAAAGGGTGACTTGATCAAGGCCTGTCCCTACCTACATGAGGAACTGGAATCTGATAATAGAGGGCTCTTCAGTCTAGCAGACAAAGCTATAACAAAATCCAATGGTTGGAAGTTGAGGCTAGACAAACGTAGACTAGAAATAAGGAACATATTTTACAGCAAGGGTAGTTAACCCATTGGAACACTTTACCAAAGATTGGGTGTTTTTCTAAAAGATATGCTCTAGTTCAAACAGGAATTAATTCAGGCAAGTCCTTTGAACTGTGTTGTGCAGGCTAGACAAGACGATCAAATGGTCACTTCTGGATTTATAATCTATGAATGTTTGAACAGTTCCTAGCACACTGGGGCCCTGGTTCCTGAATAGTGACTAAAGGAGAGTGCCGTAGAGCTGAAGCCTCAGCAAATCTGCCCCAAAAATCAATTACAAGAAACAAACTGAATAAGAAACTGTACAATTGGTCAAACATTTAGAATTTGAACCGGGTTTCTCATTTGCTTTGTCCAGTGTGGGTCAGGAGGTCTGGAAGCCATGTGTGCTGTTGCATAGAAAATAGAATGAACTGAGTATCAGAGGGGTAGCCGTGTTAGTCTGTAGCCACAAAAACAATGAGGAGTCTGGTGGCACCTTAAAGACTAACGGATTTATTTGGGCATAAGCTTTCGTGGGTAAAAAATCTCCCACTTCTTCAGATGTATGGAGTGAAAATCCATGCATCTGAAGAAGTGGGGTTTTTTACCCACAAAAGCTTATGGCCAAATAAATCTGTTAGTCTTTAAGAATGAACTGAGGATTTTCCCAGGTAGGTGGAGACTATCAAGCTGCTTATGCCTCTTAGGCTACAGAACCCAAAGGAAAACCTAATGCTGCAATGGTCAGTTGGGCTATGCAGGAGAATAATGGAAGCATTTTGGGCAGGGTACTTTGTGTAGTTTCCAAACAAAATCGTGGAAAATATCTGTAAGGTCTAAATTTGATATTGACAGTAATAAATATAAAGAACAGTATTACCATATATTTAAAAGATTAAAATAAAAGAACCTTACAAAATTAATTCTGTGTGGTCGAAACGTACACGGCCCATAAGGAACTTTTCAGCATAGGCTGAATAAAATTCAAGACTGTCACCCAAACGGTGTGTAATTGTAATGAGATCCCTTTCTGTCCAAAGCTCTAATCCAATAAGAACAACATGAAGACCAAATGGACGGTACATCTAAAAATATAAATATTAAAAAAGGCATCTACATGTAACGTTTTGAAGCTATCATCCTTCACATAATCCACATTGCTGGTGTCACTCCCCAGTCTGTGTTCCTGTTTACCTCTTCAGCCACAGAAGCTGCTCTGCAGCTCAGAATAAAACCATAACATTAAAGGGATACTGATCTGTTGCTGATCTGAATAATCTTATTTCTGTCTGGAAAAATGTTTACATATTATAGTTACAAACAACACTCATGACTACTAAAGCGGAAAGAATTTATCGGAAAATATATATTTTTTCATTTGTTTTTTATGTGTGTGCAATTGATTGTAGTTTGTGTACAGCCAGTTTGTCTGTTCTGGTGATAGTCACTTCTACTTTCTGTCTCGTGAATTCAGGGCCGGCTCCAGGCACCAGCTTGCCAAGCAGGTGCTTGAGGCGGCCACTCCAGAGAGGGGCGGCACGTCCAGCTATTCAGCGGCAATTCGGCGGATGGTCCCTCACTCCCGGCCGGAGTGAAGGACCTCCTGCCAAATTGCCGCCGCAGATCGCGATCAAGGCTTTTTTTTTTTTTTTTCCTGACGCTTGGGGCGGTAAAAACCCTGGAGCCGGCCCTGCATGAATTAACTTGAAATAACCACTCTCATGCACAGCTCTGGGGAGGCCTCATGTATGCTGCTTCCTGGAACTGAGTAGGGGGGTTACTATTAATGACTTTAAATTATATTGCAGAGAACAATCCAACAATATGTTGTCAGAACGCTAAACTGAATAAGGCTTGATAGAAGACCTACGTATTAACTATACTAATATGAAGTCAAACTTTTTAAAGGGACACTCAAAATTGAGATAAAAATAATAACATATGTCATAACTATAAAGGGAAGGGTAACAGCCCTCCTGTGTACAATACTATAAAATCCCTCCTGGCCAGAGACTCCAAAATCCTTTTACCTGTAAAGGGTTAAGAAGCTCAGGTAACCTGGCTGATACCTGACCCAAAGGACCAATAAGGGGACAAGATACTTTCAAATCTTGGTGGGGGGAAGGCTTTTGTTTGTGCTCTTTGTTTTTGGGGAGAGTTCGCTCTTGGGACAGAGGGACCAGACATCAATCCAGGCTCTCCAAATCTTTCTGAACAAGTCTCTCATATTTCAAACTTGTAAGTACAGCCAGGCAAGGCGTGTTAGTTTTATCTTTGTTTTCTCAACTTGTAAATGTACCTTTTGCTAGGGTGTTTACCTCTGTTTGCTGTAACTTTGAACCTAAGGCTGGAGGGGGGTCCTCTGGGCTCTTTAAGTTTGATTACCCTGTAAAGTTATTTTCCATCCTGATTCACAGAGATGATTTTTACCTTTTTCTTTAATTAAAAGCCTTCTTTTTAAGAACCTGATTGATTTTTCCTTGTTTTTAGATCCAAGGGGTTGGATCTTGATCCACCAGAAGCTGGTGGGAGAACGGAGGGGGGGGGATGGTTAATTTCTCCTTGTTTTAAGATCCAAGGGGTTTGGATCTGTATTCACCAGGGAATTGGTGAAGAGTCTCTCAAGGCTACCCAGGGAAAGGAATTAGCACATTGGGAGTGGTGGCAGCAGACCAGATCTAAGCTGGTAGTTAAGCTTAGAAGTTTTCATGCAGGCCCCCACATCTGTACCCTAAAGTTCAGAGTGGGGAAGGAGCCTTGACAACATATTTCCAAAATTCAAGTTTCTGGTAGAGCATCTTTTAAATAAGTATGTCCTGACATTTAGGGGGAAAAAACATTATTTTAAAAGCTATTTATGAAGGTTCTTCTTCTCCCCATTGATATTTATAAGGTCTTTTCAGCAAGAGAGAATGGACAGACCTGGAAACAACACCAGAAACCAGCTAAGGCCTTTGTCTCCCATTCACACCCTCCCCACACCTAAAGGGCAAAGAAGCAGAGGGGGCAGATGAGCAAAGCCTGTTCATTATCATCATTCATATCCCTTAACATGGCAGGGTATCAGTGGAAACTTAGGGACACGGCAGGAGAACTCCCACATTCCCAGACACTTAGCACAGTGCTGGATAGCAATGGGAGCCCAGGGGAGAATGGGCATGCAGTGAGGGCTGTTTCTTTACTCCCTTTATTTTTATGTAACCCTTCTGCCCATCTAAATTGGCAGCAAGAAGGGCCGGGTTCTGTATTTAGGGGTTCCGTTTCAATAACGCAATGCAAAACCGGCTCGAGCCCCCACCCAGTGACCTGGGACAATTACATACCATCCCCTGGGTGCCTCTCAGAGGCAATACTTCCCCTCTCGCAAGCACGGAGTCTGAGTTTAGCAGAAAATGTTTAATAACATGAGGTAAACAACATCAGCATTAAATTGGAAAAACACCACAAACATGATTCATAACACAAACCATGAGCAAAAGACCCACCCCAGCAAATTGGGCCTTGTCCTTTCCCTTTGGTTCTTGAATCCAACAACCCAAAAATCACCCAGAGTCCCCAAAGTCCAACACCCCCAAAGTCTCTTGGGTCCAGCAACCACCCAAAGTCCCAAAAGTCCAACAACCCCCAAAGTCTCTGTCCCTGGTCAGTGCAGCCCTAGAGTAAGAGGGGGGCACGCAGGGTGTTAAGGGGCACCTTATGTGATCCGAGGCTGGCCGGCCGTCTCTCCGTGGGGTTCCGCCGCAGCCTTCACCACGAGCCAGTCCACTTCCTGACGTCCCACGAACTGCTCTGCTCTACGAGCTGCTCCGCTCACCGACCTGTGAGCCGCTCCAGCCGTCTCCGCAAATGGCTCCGCTCACCGACCTGTGAGCCGCTCCAGCCATCCCCGCAAACAGCTCCGCTCGCCATTCCTTGGGCCGCTCCAACCGTCCCCGCAAGGCTCCACGCCGCTCGCTGCCCCTCCAGCCGTCCCTGCAAACTGCTCCGCCAGCCGCTTAGCAATATAGCTTCAGGCTCCCCCACTAGTTAACACAGCACTCAGTGATCTCAGCTCTTAATAACTTTACCTCTTTTGTGATTTCAGCTCATAGTAGGGGAGCCCCAGTGCTGGTGCACTATTGGCCCAAAGTGAATTCAGCTCAGCAGCCTGTAACTAGACTCCTAATGGAATCAAAGTTAGCTCTGACATTCAACAGTGGAGAGAGGAGGTGGTCCAATTGGTGTTTCAAGCCCTCAAAGGGGGCCCATCCCATCAGGTACAAACACCTGTCCCCATCCTCTCTCCATTCACTGGGTTGTGGAACCCATGTCCCTTGTCTAGCGAGTGCTACTTAGGTGATGGTGAGACACTCTGTCATAAAACAGTTTCATTGTCCTTGATTCACATAATCAGGGTAACAACACTTTATTCCTCCTGCCCCAATAACAGAGAAACTGGGGATCCCACTCCATCCAAAGTAACCACTATCAGTTGCTGTTGTCTCATTCCTGGTGGGTGGGTGTGCCTATGCAAACAAGATCAGTCCCTGGAGTTCTTTTCCACACTCGCCATAATTCACCACCAGATGTCAGGGTAGAGCTCATCCTGACTCTGCTTACATTTAAATGGAGGTTTGAAATTCAGAAGCCTTTTCAGGTATTTGACGACTGGAAGTTGGAGAGCTCCAGACCAAGCACAGGTCGCTGTGTCCCCTTATGGCTAGGCATAGCATAGCAGCCCCTTTGTCTGTAGAGGCAACTTGTGCTCTTGTGAAGCATGCCCTGACATTGAGGGAAAGAAGTCTTTTCACTTTGGCAGAAGCATGGGGTTTCAGAAAAAAAAAGATAGGTAAAAGGATGCTTTGGTTGACATGGAATTCAGAAATAACCATAGGAAGGAACTTAGAATAGGGGCAATAGGGTACCTTTTCCCTGTGAAAACCCATATAAGGAGGGTCTGCTGATTATTGAGATAAAAGTGTCTTAATTGAAGCCCTGGGTCTCATCAACAGAGTGTACTCAGTGGCGGGACAAGGGACCAAAACAACTGAGAAAGAGTTTGAGGACATCTTGCAGGGCATAGCAAAGGTCTCAACAGAGTACAGAGTGCATCTACCCCACGATTCATGACCCTAGGAAAGTTCTCCTGACCCTAAGGCGGAGGCTAGAATAGGATCTAGACAGGCTCGTTGCTCAGGGAATCACAGAGCAAGCAGAAGAACCAACAGAGCATGTACACTCATTGATCTTTGTAGGGGGGAAAAAAAGAGACACAGGACCTTTCACTTCTGTATAAACCCAAAATAATTAAATATATAAAAAGGGAGAAATTTCTCCACTACCTATCTGAGGAAATATGTTGGGGAACATGGCTGATGCCAAATATTTTTCTACACTGGATGCAGATTTCTGGCAGGCGCTCTTCCAAAAACAGTTTGTGCACATTCCATGCACTATTTGGGGTGGACAGTTTCTGCAGACCGCCGTTCAGGTTGCGTTGGCAACTGAGATGTTTCAATGGAAAACACAATGATGTCGATGTTATTATAGAGAGTATTAAAGTTGTCCTAGATGATCTGATCTGGGGGAAAATAGTAGAAGTGCATGACCAGAGGCTCTGGGCAGCTTTGGAAAGAGCAAAAGCTCCAGGGCTAAAGCTAAACAAAAATGCAAATTCCATGTCATGGAAATAACATACCTGGGAGAGACGTTAACACAGCAAGATGTACATGGGTGTATAAAGTTTCAAGTCTATTTCTGGGAATCCACATAACTGACCATTAATCACCTATTGCCATTACTCACAGGAGGCTGGCAACCTCTCTTTTCTCCTCCCACCCCCATGAATATAGAGATTATTTTTTCAATTACAAATGTATGATTTGCCAAACAAATACAAACCCGAGAGAGATTTGGTGGCTGTAGACACACTCCCTAGAACAAAAGTCCAGAGATAGACATTGTACATGTCAATTAGGATAGCTAGCTAGCTAAATAAAACAAAATAAATAAAAACACCTACTCTGTCTCAAAAGAAATGTGGATTGTGATTGCCACAGCAACACCTCAGGATGTGAACCTGCAGAAAGTGATTAAGGCTATTAGC